CAGGTGTAGAAGTTGATGTTGGAATTGATGTTCGTGTAGGTCGACGTGATGTTGTAGGTTTATCCATAATGTTTTGTTTTGAAGAAGAGTTCATGTTGGAAGTGGAAGAAGATATTTGGGATTGATTTTGATTTTGAGTTGAACGAGGTTGAGGATGTGTTCGATTGGAAAGATTCATCAAACTAGCAGGTGTCATAGGTATAACACCTCGATTCGTATTGTTAGGTACAGGAGGTGGTGGCATTATTTGACTTAAATCAACTGGACTTGGTGTACTAGTTGTCGAATGACCACTTTGTTGTTGTTGTTGCATTTGATGTAATTGAACACCTCTTTGATCGATAGCTGCAGGAGGTAAATATCCCATATTGTTCATATTACCATCATTCCCATTCCCATTATATTTAGAAATGACAGGTGATACAGGATGTATTGTCGAAGAACCACTTCTGTTATGTTGTCTATAAGAAGAAGTAGGTTTCATCATTGGTGAAGGACGTGTTTTTGGTGGAAGTGATTGTCTATTAGGACCTGTTGAATGTGTTGGTGTTGGTCCTGTCATAGGAGATGATAAAGATAAATTTTGGTTTTGAGAATGATTCAAATTCTGTTGTTGTTGTTGTTGTTGTCCTATCGAAGGATAATTCCCTTGAATTGTTTGAATTTGATCAACCATTTGAGCTTGAGGTTGAAGGGAAGTTTGTTGAAGATTAGAATTCGTATCTAAATACCCAACTAAAGCTTGGAGATAATCTTGATCCATTTCTGTATTTTGTTGAGGTTCTAAAGCCGGACTCAAAGTTTGTTGAGCACCACCAGATGATCCTACAGGATTTAAAGCAGGTGAAGACATGTTTGAAAGTGGATGTGGGATTCTATTTGAATTTCCTCTCGGTCCAAAAGCAGGAGAATAATTATGATAATGATTTCGTGAGGCTTCTAAAGCTGGAGAAGTCAAAGGCGAGAAATATCCTGGTGAAGGTGTCATATTTGATATAGTACCTGTAGGTTTTGAAGAATTTGAACCACTCCCACCATCTGATCCACCTAGGAAAGGAGAGGGTGTAGTGGATGTGGAAGCGGTTGCAACAGCCACAGCTGCAGCTGTGAGTTGTAATTGACGTTGTTGTTCTTGTAAAGCTGTAAGTTGTTCTTGAAACCTACGTTGTTGTTCTTGTAATTGTTCAAGGGGAGATCGGGTTATGATGGGATGAGGGGTGAAAGCTGGGGATGTGTATGTTGAACTGGAAGGTTGATTGGATAAAGCGGGTGAGAGAAGTGGAGCGAATGGTGTCATCTAGGGGTGAGCGGAAGTTAACATGATAAATTCATATATCGTTCTTACACAACCCACTGGAGTACTTGAATAAAGCTCAGAGAAAGGTGTGATTGCAGTTCAAAAGCAACAAATAGAGTAGTGTGATTGAGAGGATGGTGAAGTATTGTCACTCACATCGGTACCGTCCATACCTTCCCGAGCAAGCATCTCAAGTTGCATAGGGGACATCATTTCATTTCTCATTTGAGGGAACATTTCACCACTCGGTCCTTCTCATCAGCATCCGGTTCAATTCATACCGACCATCCTAAACCTCCTCGTGTATGAAAACCTTGGAAAGGAGTAAGACCACCAGGAAATGAAGGTAGGAGACAAGCAAATAAGTCGGATCTAACTCCAATTCAGAAGTAAGAGAGTGTGTATGGAATAGATAAATGAGGAAACGTGAAAGAGTTTAAACTCAAAGGACATGGAGAAGAAAGTGGAGTTTATCACACTCAAAGGAACATCAGATCACATACCAGGAGTGACCAAACCTCCTACACCTCTCCAATTTTGTCCATTCCCACCATCCCCTCCTATCCCACCTGGATCAAGTATAGTGTTGTTGAACATGTGAGGGTATTGATTTCCCGATGGATCGAACATGAGAGGAGATTGCATATGTATTTGTTCGAGCTGATAATTAGTTCCGAAGCTTGGTAGGTTTGATGTCATCGTGAATTCGTGAGCTGGTATTGGTATGTTCCTCGATTTTCTGTATATATTCTCATGATTTTATAGAGTGAAGGGTAGATTTATTGACGTGACAATGATATCCAGGAATGGTAACTCCACTTTACGTCCAATCTATACCCAAAAAACAAACACATTCATCTACTTATGGACGAATGATGAATAATCGGATGAGTATGGGGTATTTAGATTATCGGATTACTTGATTGAGTGTAAAAAGATATCGACATGAAATGGGAATACTAAATCAGGTATGGAGAGAGGTAATGGGGAACAGAAATACTTGATTAGGTGTATGGCGTGTATGGATAAGATTGGAAGATAGTAGTATATTCAAATATGAAAGTGTGAATACGATTGTGAAGAAACAACCACTTACCTGTTTTAACATATCTGAATCAAATCCTTCCAACAAAGAAGTATTCAATAATCCCTCAAACGTTTTCCCCGTGTGGTCAATATGATTTTGATCAACTTGCATCTTATCTATCAATTGATTCTTCCCATCGATGATGTTCGAGTTCATTTCAGCTTCTGTCGTATCTAAACTCTTCCTTTGCAATCGAGGTTCATTCGTACGTTTGTTGGATACACTGGAAGATGGTTCAGTGTTTGTCATAGAAGATTGAGAAGTCATCGAAGAAGATTGAAGTTCTATAGATGAAGAAGAAGGATGGAGAGTATGATGATTGTCTTGGACATGTTGAGGTTTATTTTGACCGGATGAAGCCGGAGAAGTCGGATCTAAAGGGAAAGAAATGAATTCTAAATCGAACATTTCTGAATCTATATGAGGAGGAGAGAGATGATTTGTTTGTATACGAGCCATTGTTGTGTGTGTGTGTGTGTGGGAGGGTACAGGACGAGAAGGAAGTAGAGTAAAGTATTCTATGAGCATTTACAACTTTTGTATAAGGAGGGGATTAGGGTTCTTTTCTTTATTCGATCCTTCTTTCCTTTTTCCCTTTCGGCCCCCTCGGCCCAAATTGCTAAAACTTACCTCTCAGTACCATATGGCAGGAAGGGACGGCTGAAATTATCCGATGAACTTTATCCCCGGAACTCAGTCACGCTCAAGCATATCCAAGTTTATACAGCGCTTAATTGGAATCACAACTCATCATGCCATTATCTGTATTACTACCTGTGGCGGACGGCAACGCACGGTAGACACTACTTTGCACGCCAATCTTGTTCATCGTATGCAACACATCGATCCACATAATTGATGCATTCCCGCCTTTGTACACTTCCTGTGATAGCTATTCCACGCCAAAATAAGTACACCATTGCACTGTAGGTCTTTCTATGCGCCGTCTATCATGAGTTAAGAAGATATCGGCGGAAATGATACTTCACATGCCCACCCTTCCCTATCACGCTTGATTATTCCAACTCTTGATCACCGTCTGTTTCTAGATCATCAGCTCCCCTCAAAATGATGCCAGAGTTGTAGACTCACCCCCCTCTTCAATATGAACCGGGACTGCTGTCTTCTTTCGGCGCTTGGATGTTGATGGGCCGGCTGAACCACCCTCTTCAAATGCTGCCAATTCTTCCAAAGCCCGCTGAGTAGTCCTGAGCTCTCGTTCCTGCCTCCGTTTCTCCTTTTCTACCTCCTGTACTCTCCGCTTTTCAGCTCTGATTGCTACCGCTTCCGCCTTTTGCCTGCGGATCTCCTCAGCCTTTGCTTCCTCTCGCTCAAACGCCTCCTTCGCTTCCTGAAACTGCTGTGGTCCTATGAAAGCAGCACCTCCCTCTGTTTGGCTAGCTACAAACTTCCGAGATGTCCGTTTCCTCTGCATGTGAGACATAGCTTGTTTAAGTTGGCCATTATCCGCTTTTATAAGGCTAAGCTCCGCAGCTTCAGATCGCAATGCCTTGTACAGCTTTCCTGCTGTGTATTCAGGTGTAACCTCCCCCTTCCGCATTCGATGCATGAGCTTGACCGATTCCGAGGGACGTAGAGGTGAACTTGGTGGATTGAAGATTGAGCTTGAAGATCCGGTTTGATCTTTGGGCGGTGGAGTTGCTGGACGGACAAATACTGCATCCAATACGATTTGGCGATTGTGTGGATAGATACCGGCTTTGGTGAACGCATGCTGGATGTTTGATGTGGAGAGTGCCTTCGCCCATGCCTGCTTGAAGATCATGTAGAAGAGAGCTTTACTCATTCCAACTCGTCCATCCCAGGCAATGGAGATCTGGGTGGTGATTGTTGTATAGTGTGAAGAGAGGGGAGAGAAGATACCAACATCAAGAGGCTGAAGTCGATGTGTACTATGAGGGGGAAGGATACATACAGCGATCCGCAGGGAGTCACAAAGTTGAAGAAATGAGTAGTTGACATGACTAGAGTGTCCATCTACTATCAAGAGTCGACGCCGGAGGTGTTTGAGTGCGGTAGTTGGTTCGAAGATCTCGGCAAGCCATCGAAGGCCAAGTTTATCGTCTGACCACCCTTTTGGTGATGCCGTCATGAAAATATCGTCGTTTGGTAGTACTTCAGCTGTCCAACTTTCACATACTTGACCGTAGGTACCCTTATAGATGAGGGCAGGGGGGAGAGCAGTACCATCGGCGCAGATAGCAGCAATGAGGGTGAGGAATTGTCGGGAACCGTCTATACGGGCCTTCGCCGGATCTGACTTCATTGCTTCCTCCAGAGGCATTATACGTGTCTGTTTATTAGTTTGCCCAATGATAAAGCCCTTCTCATCCATGTTGAAGATCGCTTCCGGTCCAATATTCAGTTCGGTACATTGTCTCTCTAGCTACCATCATCAGTGACCCTTCAATGAGGAGAATGAACCACCAGACTCACTATATCAAAGTACTCTTCAAAGATTGGTCGGTACTCTGCTGTATGTCGTGATTTCTCCATCCCATATACTTTCATACACCTGAGTTTATCTTTGTGGCGATCAATAAATCGAGTGGCCCACTTGCTAGAAGGCAGGGTATCACAAATTTCATATGCCATGTTGCGCAGAATGGCAGGAGTGGGGTAAAGTCGTCGTTTTCCAAGTTCAAGAATTCGCTTGACAAGAACAGCTTCCTGATGTTCATCGAGATGTGCATTGTTGGAGCGTTTATCAGGAAGGGGGTCGCACAATGACCTATAGTAGTTGCGACTTAGAGTGGTACGGACGATGTTGTGTTCTTTGGCTATCACAGAGAAATTGGGTATGGAAGGTGGTGTAACTTTGTGACAATCAAGGAGAGCAGCAGTCAGAGACTGCGAGGACATGCTGTATGCACGAGAATGTGAAGAGACGGTGAAGAGATGGAGGATAAAGTGTCAAAACGGATGATCAAAACGGATGAATTTGGGGTGTGCAAAGTCGTGTCTACCGTGCGTTGCCGTCCGCCACAGGTACTACTACTCATGATAATACATCATTACTCCTCTGCATCTGTCTCGGAAGCATTAAACACTTCTTGTCCCAACTTTGAACTCCTCGTCGTACCTCTCTCTCGCAACGGTGTCCCACGAGGCGTCCCTCGCGTTCGCATGAGAGGGGAAGGAGAGACGACCGGAGTGGTAGGAGCTGTCGAGGTTTTGAGATCGGAGGGGGCTAAAGATGGATTGGATCGGGAAAGAGGTGGTGGATTGAGATGATTACATCCTACATTATATCAGCTTCAATTTCTTTCTCCACACCCTCCTTCAAACCTCTAGATGACATGAATGAATAGACTGACGAGGACAAATCCATTCTGTCCGTCAGCTGATGCATCTCCACACTAGCACAACTCACGTAATCGTTCCCATTCGTATTGACTCCCGACCAGACCATTATGTCGGAAACATTCACCGCAAACAAGAGCATATTTGCTCTGTGACGATTGAGCTAAAAGTCAGCGAACAAATGCATCAAAAGTGATCCGAGAAGGTGCTCACAGGGATCATCACCAAGGATACTATCAACCACACGATCATACCATTTCTTCTCTGGTGTAGGGAGGACAGGTTGTATGGCTGCCATTTGCATTTGTAACATTGTCGCTTGATCAGCGGTCATACCAGGAGGTAAAGGTATCGGTCCCGATGGTCCTACCACTAGATTATCAGCATCTTCATAACTACATTTCAGCGAGTCCTCTGAGAAAAGAGAGCTTTTTGGAGGCTTCAAAAGGGGGGAAACTCACAAGGAGTCCCTCCTATTCCTACCAAATGTCCAGGAGCTTTTGGGGTTCCCTCTAGACCACCTCTAGGAGATCCGTTCTGACCAGGACTACCTTGAGCGGTTTGTTGTTTTTGGGGAGTGGAAGGATTACTATTATGCGGAGTGGACGGTAAGGAAGGACCAGGACTACCTCCTTCGTATTGTTCGATGAGTTTTCGAGTGGAATCGAAATTTGTAGCTTTTTTAATAGCTTCGAGATGTTTGCGTTGTTCACCGAGTAGGGTACGTAGGTGGAGTTCTGATTGGTCAGTTGGGCCTCTATCTTCAACAGGTGAAGATGTCTTGCCGTAGCCTATCTAGCTGATATTGACATGACTAGCGGAGATACCAGAGGCGATATGGAAGTGAAGGAGTAAGACTCACCTTCTGCATTACGTTGACGAGTGAACCAGAGTTGTAATAATCGATTCAAAAGCCATATGCTATTTGTCAGCTTCTCCCAAAGACGTGAGTAGAGAGCGCAATTACTATACCAAGACGATCCAGAGTGAAGGAAAGGAGAGATATGACAAGACGAAAGTATGACAGAACAGAAGGAGCAGAAGAAGGATCGATGTACTCACAAAAGAGGTCCAGCTGCCATCCCAGCAACACCTATCAACCTCCCTTCCCCTTTATCCCCCCTCAAACCGATCAACCCCAGTGGTAACCCTCTAACCCACCATAATCCCGACCATAAAACCCAAAGTCCAATACCATACGCGTTGATCAATAAAGACATTCGTCTTTCCCTCAATCTTATCTCGGCGAGAGATTGTTTAGCATCGTTTATATCAGTGGCGAGACGGGATAAGAGGGTTTCGTAATCTGGTGGAGAGCTCTGTTGACGTTAGTCCCACACCTTCCCACGTCACTCTTCTTACAAAGGTGACAGACTGACTTTTGAGAACCAAGAGAAGATACCCATCATTTCAGACGAGTACGTTGACCCTTAGACTGAGAGATTAGAGTGTTGAGGTATATGGGAGAAGGTTAAGTTAAGTGGAGGAACAGGTATTGGTGGTGACGAAGGAGAAAGAAAGAAACGCGTCATAGGTTAAAAGTTTTCTCGACTTTTTCCCCCCTTACGTTTCGTACTTTTACACTTTCTCTTCACTATACATCTTGGTTTGCTCTTGTCATCTCATAACTATCTCAATGACGATATAGAATAGAAAAAAAGAACGTATAAAATGTTCAGTAACATATTCCAAGTGTCCAACTTATCTCGAGTCACGAGAATTCGTCGTCGTCCGAAACTCTCTTCACTCCCGATCGAAAGCCGACGATGGCGCCATGTAACGGCCACGACACAGAAGAGGGATATGAAGGAGGATCCCTCAGCCTCGTTGAGAACGAGAAGTCTCGAGGCGGAGGATTATAAGTGGGCATTGGAGTTGGCTCGTCAACAACATGATATGGTCATCGATCAGGATGATTCTGGTGGGTTTTGACTTCCGTCTCTCGTTCCATATCAGTCGAGAGAATGATCCTAGAACTGGATCTAATCACTCCAACGAAGAAATGTAAAGATTAATGGACTGACAGATAGTGAAGGAAAGGGTCAAATTGCCCACTCTGCTCGGTCGAAAACCTCGCAAGAAAGTAGTAGATGATCCTGCAAAGAGCGACGGACTCATATCTACTCAGCCAATCATGAAGACCAGTCGGAAAGGAAAAGAAAAGCAACCAAGTGTGGACTCTCCTCCACTCTTGTCCATCTCCGATCCTGGTGAGCTCATCGTGTATGGACGGGGGGATTTTAGCTGACAGATACAGGTCCTTCGATCCGTCGTAATCCTGTCGGGGTGCAGATGCTTTCTCCTTCTTTACATTCGCAACTCTTCCCAGGAACCCCTTCCCCGAAACCTGACCAAGCATTGATAGATCTTTCCATCTCTCATTTATCGTCTCACGGTCTCTCACCTTCCGCCGCATCAATAAATCCGGAAATCTCCTTCGATCTTCCTCCTCTTCAAGGTAAAAACATTCGAGAACATTTCTATAACCTCGGTCAATCCACAGCTGAGCCTTATTTATCCATGGCAAAACAACTCGCTTCATCTTCCATTCCCCCTATCCCAGAATCTTGGGAGGTAGAAAGATCAGGTTGGACTAAATACTTTCCCGATGGTCGACGAGAATCTGTGGACGATTTAGGAGAAGAGAAATTGGTCATTTTCGATGTGGAAACATTATACAAATTATCTCCTTATCCAGTTTTAGCAACTGCCGCTACTCCAACTGCTTGGTATTCTTGGATAAGTCCTACCGTTTTCGAGAACCCACCAGAAATAATTGCTCCCCCTCCACCTAAATGGGAGAAACAAATACAGAAACATCATCCACATGATCTCATACCTCTTTTCAAAAATGATCAATCAAAACCTAGAGTAGTCATCGGTCATAATGTAGGATACGACCGTGCACGTGTATTGGAAGAATATTCTTTAGAAAGAACATCGACAAGATGGATCGATACATTATCACTTCACGTAGCTACAAGAGGTATAACAAGTGTTCAACGTCCAGCATGGATAAAACATCGTAAAGGTAAAATGGAAAGAAAAACACAACAAAATGAAGTTATAGAATTTTTACGTGAACAAGCTGAGATTGAAGGTGATCAATCTTTTTTATTAGATGATCTACCTTCAGAATCAAATATATATTCGGATGATTCAAATTCTGAAATAGAAGCTAAAAGATGGCAAGATGTTACTTCTGTTAATTCTTTAGCTGAAGTCGCTTCTCTTCATTGTGGTCATTCGGTGGATAAATCAATCCGAAATCGATTTTCAGATGAAACTATCAAACATGCTTCTATGATACGTTTGGAATTACAAGAATTAATATCATATTGCGCTAAAGACGTTAAAGTTACACATGAAGTTTATCGAAAAGTTTTTCCCTTATTTCTACAATCTTGTCCCCATCCAGCTACTTTTGGAGGGATCTTGACAATGGGAAATAGTTTCTTACCTGTTGATGAGAGTTGGAGAAGGTATTTACGTGATGCTGAAGGAAAATATCAGGAAATGGAGAAAGGGGTGAGGAAGGCTTTGAGGATTTTGGCGGATAATCTGAGATTACACGGAAAGGGAGATGATCCTTGGTCAGATCAGTTGGATTGGACTCCGAAACCTGCTCGATGGGCGGAAGGGGGACCTGGCTTGGAACTTGATCAACATTCATCCTCATCACCAACAGTATCAACTCCAACCTTACTAGCAACGTCTCCAGCATCCCCTTCATCGACAACTTCCACCGTAGAAACTCCTTCGTCGAGTGAGTCAAAACAAATTGTCACTACAACAACATCATCAGTCGACGAGAGAGAAAGCAAGATACCGGATTGGTATTCACCCATACAACAAGATCCTTCTTATCTAATTTCCACCATGTCCCAACGCAAGCTCCTACCTCTGATCCTCCGTATGACCTACAAAACCCATCCCGTCGCGTTTTCCCATGAACATTTTTGGTGTTTCATGGTCCCACATGACTCACACGAGAAGGTAATGGAATTCATCGATGTTCATGGTCCCCCTCTTGAATTATCATCCAAAGATACTCATCTTCATCCATTCCTTGAACATTACACTTTCTTCCGTATCGGTCGGACGGACGAGCCGAGAAAATCGAAACTTACCGGATCGTCAGTCAAGAGGCTTATCGCGGCTGTAGATCTAGAGACTGGGTATCCGAGTTTATTTACCAGACTGAGTAGCTCAGATTTGGTAACTATGCAGGATGAATTTCTTACATGTGCAAAGGACATGTTGGATAATGGAAGAGATACTGTGTGGGGAAAACAGTTGGATTGGTCATTTAGCCCAATAACTTCCACCAAACCTAGCAACACCAATAGTTCTACCACCTCGTTAGAGCCGTCGGTGAATGTCAAGGTCAGGAGGAGTGGGAAGAAGACAGATCACGGAACTTGGCCTAAATGGTATTGGGACCTAACGGCACCATCTACGAATAGCAAGATTCCATTTGGAGAGCTCGATTTGACCGTGAAGAAGATCGTCGCTCCTTTACTTTTACGATTGCAATGGCAATCTTATCCTTTGGTGTATAGTCGACAACACAAGTGGTTGTACAAAGTTCCCAAATCGGTCGAATCGAATTCTTCCCACTCTGACTCGGAAGAAAGTTCATCAAAGTCTGGTCCATTGTCCAAGTCGGAATCCCACAAGATTATAACGGATTTAGTACATTTCGATCCTGTCAAAGGTGACGAAGCGTTGGCTGCGGATAAAGACCACATATATCTTCGACTTCCTCACAAAGATGGCGAAGGTAAAAACGTCGGTAACCCACTTTCTAAATCTTTTGTCAAAGCTATCGAATCAGGAGAATTATCTTCTCTCACTGCCGATGGATCAGAAGGTGAAACTACGGCTCAAGCAGCTCGTGACGCCACTCAACTCAACGCTTTATGTTCATATTGGATTTCATCCCGAGAACGTATCATGGATCAACTTGTTCATTATCCTTCTACTACAAGTGAACAAGGAATGATCCTCCCTCAAATGATCACCATGGGAACTGTCACTCGTCGAGCTGTTGAAGCCACTTGGTTGACAGCTAGTAATGCTAAACCTAATCGTGTGGGATCTGAATTAAAAGCGATGGTTCGAGCACCTCCGGGATATTCTATAGTCGGTGCAGATGTCGATTCTGAAGAATTATGGATATCAAGTGTCATGGGTGATAGTCAATTTGGGTTTCATGGTTCTACTGCTATAGGTTGGATGACATTAGAAGGTACGAAATCAACAGGAACGGATTTACATTCGAAAACAGCTTCAATATTATCAATTTCAAGAGATGCCGCAAAAGTTTTCAATTATTCTAGGATTTATGGTGCAGGTGTTAAACATGCTATTCAATTATTATTACAAGGAGATCCTACTTTAAATAAAGAAGAAGCTTCAAAACGTTCAAGAGAATTATATAAATCGACAAAAGGTATGAAAATAAAAAGAAATGATCAATTACCACCTTCAACAATAGAATCAATTTGGCATGGTGGTTCTGAATCTTTTTTATTCAACACTTTAGAATCTATAGCTTCTTCTGAAAAACCTTTAACTCCAGCTTTGAATTGTGGTATAACGAACGCATTGAAGAAATCTTATTTAGATGAAAGAAACGATTATTTACCTTCAAGAATAAATTGGGTTGTACAATCTTCAGGTGTTGATTATTTACATATGTTATTGATTTGTATGGAATATTTAATTCGAAAATATGAGATAAAAGCTAGATATATTATATCGGTACATGATGAAATCAGATATTTAGTAGAGGAAAAAGATAAATATAAATGTGGTTTAGCTTTACAAATATCTAATGCTTGGACTAGAAGTTTGTTTTGTTATAATCTCGGTATGAAGGATTTACCACAAGGTGTTACTTTTTTCTCATCGGTCGATTTCGATATTGTTTGGAGAAAAGAAGTCACGATGGATTGTAAAACTCCAAGTCATGATTTGGTAATACCTCCAGGAGAGAGTTTAGATATTTTACAGATTTTGGATAAAACGGGGAAAGATGGATTAGGTGAGGAAAGGGGGAATTTCAACGACAACACCGAATCTATATCTAAAATACTATCACCCCTTGATTCCACTTTTGACACTAATACTATCAATTCATCCCCTGAGAAACAACCAAGTTCCATACATTCGATAAGCGAAACATCAACACGACCAACTTCCATACATTCGATAACCGAAACATCAGAAATTAGAACCTCATCCTCATCATCATCATCATCGGAATTACTCAAACAACCTCCTTTATTCTCAAACATCTCATCACATAATCATATACTTTTCCTTCGAGCACAAGCTGATAAATATTCTATAGCAGCGAGAAAATGGTTAGATTCTCAAAAAGGTTTGAAATTCGATGGAATGGTTTTACCACCTCGGAGGGATATAAGAAAAGTTCGGGAGGGTATGTCTAAAGGGTCTCATCATGGTCCTGTCGGTTCTTCGAAAACAGATCTGTCCAAGGTCGGTCATGATAAGTTGGGATATGGACCGTCTAAGATGGCTGAGCAATCGGATGAAGATAAGTCTGGGATGGGTGAGGGATTTGGGCGGGGTAAGAAGGAATGGAAAGGTGGAGAGGTTGGGCGGGTCGGGAGGGGTGGAGAGGTTGGACTGATAAGGAAAAATGGGGAAGTTGAGAAGGTTGGACGGATAAGGAAGGATGGGAAGAACGGAAAGGTTCAACGAAATGAAGGGATAAAGAAGGGTGAAGAAGAAGAAGGAATAAAAGATGAATTAGGTTATTCAAATTGGACAAAAGAAGAGATAGAAGAATTAGTGAGGAATGCTGATACACTTCATTTAACCTTGGAATGATTCGTCATATGATAAATGGAAAGAAAAGTCTTGGTTGACTAGTGTACTCGTACAATATCTTGTTGGTTTAAATTAGTGATAGTGTATCGTATCAGAGAATTTCTCTGTACATCAAGTTGTATCCTTGAATACTCATACAGGTCAAGTACAGTTAATCCAGTGATGCATATACCTTAGTAAGATTCATCTTGTTCCCTTACACCACCTCTGTCGTCTTCTCTTAGAAAGATCACTCGCATCATGGGTGCTGGGACACTTTCACTTGATCAGTGTGGTCCGATATGAAACGAAAATAATCGTTCTTTCGACTTGGTAGCGCCATATTGACCACTGTCCGTTCTGATAAGAGTAAGAATTAAGTGATTTTCGACTCGGTAGTAACGAAACGACTAACTCATAATCGATTCTTTCATATCGATGAAGACATATGGAGATAAGTGTATGAACAAACCCATCTAAGTATGCCATATCACACTGCGATCAGTAAGAATTGAATAGTGAGTTACGAATCCAAATGCAATGTGATGAAGGATTTTGTAAAGAATTGACATAACAAATTCAAATATCACATTCTTTCTTTAAAGTTTCATCCTTATCCTTATCCATATCCTTTTCCTGTCAAAAAAATGCTAGGTATTTCTCATTGAAAAATATAAAGATAAAACATATACAGCACCCACCAAAGAAAGAACAAAAGTATATACCACGTAGATGAATCCCAAAAAAAGGATCAAGGAAAAAAAGAGAGAAAATTACTACAAGGTGTAAAGAGTCAGAATTCTAATCATGACAAAGATCGTAATATTTCACAAAACCCCACACCCAAACACCCACACCCACGGCCGCATCCGAGAAAGAAGAAGATAGAAGATAGCAGTTGAAAATCCTCAAGAAACTCTAACTTCACCACCATCACCATCCATTTCCGCCAAATATTGATTAAAATCAAATCCTATATCCGGTAAACCATCCAGATCAAAGTTCAAATCACCACCAAAAGTATAAGTATCTTCCATTCCATTCAAACTTTCCATATTTTCTTGTCCCATTTCACCATCTTTCTTATCATCGACGCCAACGTTGACGTTGACATTAGAAACATGTACATGTTCCGATGGGGTGAGTAAAGTTGATGATGATACATGTATATGATCTGGTGGAGTTAAAAGTGATGTAGAAGTTGGATTTGGGACTGATGCTGATGTTGATGGTGGAGAAGTAGGTGCTGTTATTGTTGTCGGTGATGGATTTAATGAATTTGGAGTATGATTTGGTAATTCTTCTTTTGGTTTGACTTGAGGTGTTTTGTTAGGACCGGGTTTAGGTGTATGAGTACGATTGTTTTGTGCTGGACTTTGAGGTGGAAGCATTGATCCTGTTCCTGGTTTACTCTGTGTCCTTTGGAGTGCATGTGAATTCGAAGGGTTACGTGGTGATTGAGTGATGTGGGAAGGTAAGGGTTGAGCAGTCGATTGGTTGGGTTGGAGAGTTTGATTAGGAGCGGGACTGGGGATGGTGGAATCGATCGGTACGGGTGTTTGTGGGTATCCGTTTATTGCCATGGAACGTATTTGTTGATCCGCATGAAGTTTCTTTTCATATGCCAATCGTTCAATCTCTTGTCGACGAGCGGCTTGGTACTGACAATCAGCATCTTTCCTCCTGATTACGCTTCTTCCTTCCTCAATATCGCCCCACATGGTTACTCTTTATGCTCGACGGAAGGCTGAGAGATTGGGGTGTATGTGTGTGTATTGTGATCGTTGAAATGAGGACCTTCTGTGTGACTTGGGGGAAAGATATGGACTTCACATGTCTTCCACAAGACCCGAGACAAGAATGGGAGTCAAAAATGATGAGACGGAAAATGAAAGACACGTCAAGAAATACTCACAGACGCATCCCCGGCCCCTTGACCATGCATCATCTGTTGATGCTGCTGTTGCATCTGTACCAACTGAGCCTGTAACTGCGCCGTTTGAGGTGTCATCCCTTGTCCTGGACCAGCACTACCCGGACTACGTCGCAAGCGTTTCCGATCTGGAGGTGTTTCGGTAGTCTGTGATTGTGATTCTTGGTCGGTACCATTCCCATTTCCGTTAGGTCTGGTAGTCAGTTGCATATCCACATGAGTTGATTAGACAAATCTAGGTGTCGAGACGGTGGTGAGAGTAGAACTATCAATCGAATATACTATAGGAGAGGAAAGCACGTTCATTGTCCAATGTAAAAATTTGCAAGGGTAGAATCGACATGTAAGGAGGGAAGCTGGGCCGGATAGAGCACCAGGAAGCGAGAGAAAAAGGCGGAAACAAAAAACACTTTAGCTCACCTCTTCAAATGCGCCGATACCGCCCGATGTTGAGCCTGAGCCTGGGCCTGAGCTTGCATCTGCATCTGCATCTGCGCTTGAGCTTGGGCATGAGACTGAGCTTGTTGAGCTTGATAATGTTGCAACATTTGTTGTTGTGCCATCATTTGATTTTGTGACATGTTCATCCCTCCTTGTTGTTGACCTTGTTGCCCAGGCTGAGTTTGCTGTTGTTGAGATTGAGGTTGACCTGAATGTCCTAATTGTCCTAATTGCTCGGCTTGTCCAGCCATGGCGCGATGATGATTCTGCATCGTAGCTCTATATCGAGCGATAACTTGTTGCTAATGAGTCAGGCATTGTCACGTCATGTCTGCAGGAGTTCAAAGAAGAAAGGCAAGCCGACGAAGTATTGGTCATTCCTCGCTAACCGTTGTAATCCCCTTGCCCGCTTTGTATGTCATGTAAGGACATAGTGAAGAGACAGAAGGGACAAAGGAGCAACAGTGATAAACCCATGAAAATCGCAGAAAAGATGGAGGTGGAGGATGGGAAAAGAGGGATTACTCACTCGCTCCTCATCAGACATAGCTGAAACTTCCTTTCCACCCAAACCCATACTTTGAACAGTATAACTCATTACAGTCGGATGTACAGTTCCCAATCCTAAACCTGCGTAAAACCTATCGGTATGTTGTTGAATTTGAAGATGTTGAACTTGTTGTTGAGTCATTTGCGTTTGTCCATCTTGTCCTTGTCCAACTGATTTTTGTAACTGTTGATCTCTTTGAAGATTAATCATTTGTCTTTGATTTTGATTTTGATTAGAAGCAACTGGACTTGGTTGTCTGAAAACACCAGGTGTTGAAACACGTAACATTCCTTGTGTTTGTGGAATCTGACCTTGACCCTGAACCGAGTTTTGTGTTAAAACTTGATTTTGATTTTGGTTCTGAAGATTTTGTCCTTGTCCAATTGGCATTTGAGGTAATATCTGACCACCTTGAGTGGGTCCATTAACACCGATAGGTCTCATGGTTTTCTGATGTGGGGAAGGCATGATTGAATGTTGTTGAACATGAGGTGAAGGTGCCACTGGAGAATGTTGTGGATGTTGATTTTGTGTATGAGCGTGAGAATTTGGACCAGGACCAGCTTGAGCGTTAGGATTTTGAAGTTGCATTTGTGATGGTGTTGAATACATCGGATGTCCACCCATTCGATTTATACCAGTACCTGGAGCACCGGGTGCACCTGACATTCCGGAAACACCGGGGATACCGGGTCCACCAGAACCAGGGATGGGTCGAGTTTGAGTTTGGTTAGAAGGTGAAGATATGACAGATACGTTTTGTCCTGATTGAATATATCTTTGAGCTTGTTGAGCAGCCGCGGCAGCTTGTTGAGCTTGAGCATGTTGTTGTTGTTGAAGCAACACCCTGTTGAGCGGCTTGTTGTTGGTTCAAAGCTTGTTGTTGCTGTACGAATTGAGCTGGAGGAAGACCATTCGCTTGAGCTTGAGCTTGACGGAGATGCATCAATTGTTGAGCGTTGAGTTGACCGGGAGCATACATAGGTTGTTGTCGAACGGCAACTCGGAGTCGACTCATGGTCTGCGACTCAGCGAGTGTCCCGAACAACATGCTTTCAATCACAAGGGAGTCTGTTGGTGCCGTACCAAGGTTGAGACAGGTATCTGGCTCAACGGACAAAGGTGGGAAAGGCAGTAGCAGGGCCAAATTAGGTACGAGATGCGTGGCATGTGAAAGTGTGGAGAGAAGAGTAGGTGGATGAGGCAAGTTGTGGACGGACGGGCGAGAGCTGAGAGTGTGTATCGATCAAGATCAGGTACATGAAATGGGTGCGGATGAATACAGAAAACCCGACTCACCTCCGTGAAAGCAGCAGTAGAAGTCCACGGATTGGGTCCTTTACCTCCGTTACTCATGATATCAGTGAACATGGCCCACCATCTACCAGTCAGTCTCATCCTTGTACAGAATGATTATAATCCAAGAGAAGAACTCTTCCCACTCACTCGTATAATAACCCCCGTTGCACATTGACTGGTATTGTCTCTTCCCCTAATCCCGACTCTGCGGCTAATTGAGCAGCCGCAGCTGGAAGGTTGTTTTTGATTAAAAAGTCGTGCATGTACATGACCAACCTGATAATCAGCATTTCGCATATTCATCTTCCTGCTGAACCGTCTTAAGTACTCCAACAACCACTCGACCAGAACGCCCCTTTCAAGATTCACACGAAGAAGGTTTTAGCTTTCCTTTCCACCTCCAACGCTATTGAAATTACCTGGTCTGTGTTTCCCAGGATACAAAAGTATGTGCTGGGCCCAAGAGAAACGCTGATGACGGAAGGACATGATGAGAGTTTCCAATGACGTTGGAGGAGGTTGTCAAGTGAGTTGTTAAGTGACAAGATGGAGAAGTGAAAAACTCACAACATATCCAAATCTTGTCTCATACCCACACTACCCGTCCGACTCATCGCATACCCATCTTGATACCCTTGCGTCCCAGGAATCCCATTCACACCAGGTTGATGCATCAAAGGTTGATATCCCATCATTTGAGTTTGTGTCTGTGGTGTTCTCGTTTGATTAGGTCTCATAGCTTGTCCAACAGTTTGTTGTTGTGGTACATGAGGATATTGAGAAGGATGTATTTGTTGTCCATTTGGGAATTGATGAGATATATGTGGTCAACTTCAAGGATGATGTGGTGAAGGAGGCCTTCTTACAGGTTGTTGATGTTGTTGTTGAGGTGTCATTTGTATTCTTTGTTGTGGTTGTTGTTGTTGGACAGGTTGAGACGTGACGGGATTTATCGGAGGTCGAACTTGAGCGTAAGGATGAGGATAACCTTGCATTTGTTGAGCTTGAGCTTGAATTTGTTGTTGTTGTTGTTGGGCATGTTGTTGAGCTTGTTGCATTTGTTGAATTTGCTGTATTTGTTGGATCTGTTGAATTTGTTGGATTTGTTGAATTTGTTGAGATTGCATATTGTTTGGATGTGATTGAGGATGAGAAGGTAATG